AGCAGCAACAAACTATTACTACGGAGGATGGAAAACCACCGCCTCCTCAGTACGACGAGGCCGCGAAACTTCTGAAGGTGAAAACAGCATTTTTGCTTTTGTTTTTGAATTTTTTGAATGTCGCACAGTCGCAGAGAAAGAAATCTAATTGTGGCAATTCCACTTCACTCTCAGGTAAAAATCGAACCAGTGCAAAAGAGTCACATCAAGAGCCAAGTCGTGGACGACGTGCTGGAGATCCTGATCAAGAACGGCGAGCTACCACCGAGCGCCGCGCAGGATCCAGCCACTCCGACGACACCCAACAGACAGCTGCAACAAAATTTGGTGTTCACGGCGCCAGCGGACAGCCAGACGCACTCGTTGGTTTTTACCGCCGCTAGTCCGATCAGCCCGATCAGTCCGATTGCGATGGAGGTCTCTCAGAGCGATTGCGTGAGTTCACCGGCGCCGGCGCCACCGCCACCGCCTCCCTTGCCTCTGGCGACCTTCTCTATTCAGCTGCCAACCTCGTTACAACAGTTACAGCAGCAGGAAGAGATCTCGTCGTTCAACACAGACCTGTTGGCCTCGGAGGGCGATCTGGACGCCGCGATGCTTCTCAGCCCGCAGTCCGGCCAGCAAGCATCGCCGGATCCTCAACCTCCTCAAGAGGTAACGTCGTCGGACAACGCGAATTTAGACCTCAAGGTATGACCAGTCGTAATGCGAGCCGACGAGCACCCCCTTGTTTCCTCTCGAAAGTCACAATGCGTGGATTTTTCATTTCAGGAGCTCGAGTTGGACCTCGAGACCCTCGACACAATGGACTTCAGCCAGTTAGATTGCGACCTGGGAGTCAAGATGGAAGCACCTCAGGAGTTGATGGACATTGGCGACATGCCTATGGACATGGACGATCCCGACTGGCTGGATTCCCTGATGCCACAATCGCCCCCAACCTCGTCCACCACAATATCGAATCATCAGCCAGCCCCGCCGACCAGTTTGTCCAGCGGCACCGACATTTACGACCCGTTGCTAGCCAGTAGTCAAGATCCTTTTGATCTCTTCAACATGGAAGACTCTGACTTCAAGATGTCTTCCGACTTGTCGCTGACCTGGGACAAAGTTGACTTCGCGACCTAGCCCGAGATCTTTCCTCGGAGCTCGGCCTTGTGTACTTAATCAATCCATGTGTCAACGGGAAACGGAAGGGATCCAGCGGAAGGCACACTGGGGGACAGTGGCCGAACGTGGCAGGGCCAAGTGCCACGCGTGTTGAGATCGATCTGTGACTGATTTCTGGTGCATTTTTACCAATCGTTTCTTTGCAGTTGCTTTCCCCGGCAATTCGGCATCGGCAATTCACTGTGCAACTTCCCGTGGGACGTTCAAATAATTGTACTTATGCGCGTACGACTTACGTTTCTCGGTGAATCGAGAGCGGTGAACTTTCTTACGAGAACCGAACTAGAAATGTAACTAGCTATAATGTAATTTTCACGAAATCGAAATTTCTAGGTGAGTAATTGAAAGAGCAAGTGAAAAAGAATGTGCATAGAATTGCGAGAGAGAGAGATGATCGTGGCGTGAGAACGCAAGGGTGAGAGCGAGACCGCGAAGCAATCGTTTCTAAGGGGTTTTTGTACAATAGAGGATAATTGTCATCGGTGCACGAATACTTTGGTCTTCCTCGGTCAGTATGAGAACCAATGCATAGAACCGTCGTTTCTTTCGTTTTACTTGAGATCTTAATGATCGACAACTCGGAGAATGGTTTCGTTTGGAAACGAACGCCGATCGATCGGTCGTTCGAAAAAAAAAAAAAAAAAAAAAAGAAACGAAGATGAGTACGACGAAAAGAAAATGAATAGAAAGAAACGACGAATACGAATTTCCCGCGACCGGAAATAATAATGATGATACAACGACGATATCTTCAAAATTCTCCAAAGAATCTCCTTACGAGCGTTTTTAGCTAGTTTTTACTATCCAGTCTACAGTCGTGTGTTGCTTGAGTTTTAATAACTGCGAATAGCATGTGTGTTAAGCAGGAAGACGGGAAAGCTGCGTTCATATCTGTTTTTCTCGTATGCTTCTCCCTTCCCAGCCTCGTTTCCCTCTCAAAAACCCAGACTCCTCAAAAAACAGTAGCATGTTCAATTGCAACGCTATAATCGGAATACTTATTTACGGAGGAAATGAATGTACTTTTACAACGACTGTATACATATGTATATGCAAATATATGTATACATACACATATGCAAAATACAGTGTACGTTGAGTTCGAGAGCAATAATTAAAAAAAAAAAAGGGGGGGGGGAAAA